TGGTACCTCACAAGACGAATGCCTCGCAAAACGAAAAACTCGCAAGACGAAAGAGTTTTTCGTTTTTTGAGTTGTTTCGCAAGACGAATTTCCCCATGGGCTTGCTTCGCAAGACGAAAACGTCTTGCGAGTTTGTTTCCTTTTTCTTAAAACCGCTAATACCGTTAAAACCGTGCTTCGCAAGACGAAAAATTCACAAGACGAAAAAACTCGCAGAACGAATTAATTTCATCTTGCGAGGCACCACTGTAGTAGACAAACTACAATTTGAATTGAACCTATTGGTTTTCCCATCTCAAGACATACTTACAGGTTAATTGGGTTGCTATTTGTCCTGCTAGCAGTCTCATACCTGGCATTGCTCTGGAACTGGAAACAAAAAGGCAAAATAATAAATAAATAAATAAATAAATAAATCTGTGCAGTTTTGAAAGGTCCATTCACAGCAAACTATGGCAAGTTCTTAAAGAAATGGGAGTGCCTGATCACCTCATCTGTCTCCTGAGAAATCTCTATGTGGGACAAGAAGCTACAGTTAGAACTGGATATGGAACAACTGATTGGTTCAAAATTGGGAAAGGAGTACGACAAGGCTGTATATTGTCTCCCTGCTTATTTAACTTATATGCAGAATTCATCATGCGAAAGGCTGGGCTGGATGAATCCCTAGCCGGAATTAAGATTGCCGGAAGAAATAGCAACAACCTCAGATATGCAGATGACACAACCTTGATGGCAGAAAGTGAGGAGGAATTAAAGAACCTTTTATTGAGGGTGAAAGAGGAGAGCGCAAAATATGGTCTGAAGCTCAACATCAAAAAAAACGAAGATCATGGCCACTGGTCCCATCACCTTCTGGCAAATAGAAGGGGAAGAAATGGAGGCAGTAAGAGATTTTACTTTCTTGGGCTCCATGATCACTGCAGATGGTGACAGCAGTCACGAAATTAAAAGACGCCTGCTTCTTGGGAGAAAAGCAATGACAAACCTAGACAGCATCTTAAAAGTAGAGATATCACCTTGCCAACAAAGGTCCGTATAGTAAAAGCTATGGTTTTCCCAGTAGTGATGTATGGAAGTGAGAGCTGGACCATAAAGAAGGCTGATCGCCGAAGAATTGATGCTTTTGAATTCTGGTGCTGGAGGAGACTCTTGAGAGTCCCATGGACTGCAAGAAGTTCAAACGTATCCGTTCTTAAGGAAATCAGCCCTGAGTGCTCACTGGAAGGACAGATCGTGAAGCTGAGACTCCAATACTTTGGCCACCTCATGAGAAGAGAAGACTCCCTGGAAAAGACCCTGATGTTGGGAAAGATGGAGGGCACAAGGAGAAGGGGACGACAGAGGATGAGATGGTTGGATGGTGTTGTTGAAGCTACCAGCATGAGTTTGATCAAACTGCGGGAGGCAGTGGAAGACAGGAGTGCCTGGCGTGCTCTGGTCCATGGGGTCACGAAGAGTCGGACACGACTTAAACGACTAAACAACAACAACAACAACAATTAACTATCTTGATTCAAAATGGAATCCAAATGGAGGCATTGAAAATCTGCCCCTTGATCTCCAGAACCATCATGAAAAAACTGATATTTCAAGAGGTGTCCAAATACAGAACAAAAAAACCAAACCTGGAAAGAACCAAACCTCGAACTTTTGCGATATAAAAAATTGCAAGATTTCATCAGGAAGCTGTAGGATATACACACCAATTGAATGCAAACCCTCAAACCTTCATAGGCACAAATGGTATAGCTCATTTTTTTAAAAAGCGGATTTGTTGCTGTAGGGTGTTGGAGCACTTTAACCTACTTTAATTGTACCAACCTAAATTTCCCAGTATGTGTTTTAATCCTTCCCCCAAAATACGGACAGTCTGGAGACCGCCTCAAAATGAAATTAAACAGTGGAAATATAAACACACTTGCACAACAAATGCAACGATTAGATTCATTGTTGGCAAATTTTCAAATACAGTGGTACCTCAGGTTAAGTACTTAATTCGTTCCGGAGGTCCGTTCTTAACCTGAAACTGTTCTTAACCTGAAGCACCACTTTAGCTAATGAGGCCTCCCACTGCCGCCGTGCTGCCGGAGCACGATTTCTGTTCTCATTCTGAAGCAAAGTTCTTAACCCGAGGTACTATTTCTGGGTTAGCGGAGTCTGTAACCTGAAGCGTCTGTAACCTGAAGTGTATGTAACCCAAGGTACCACTGTATCAGACAGTACTGACATGTGAGTACAAGGTAACGTCAAGAAAATACATGCAGAGGTGTTTCAAATTCACACAAGTGAATTTCCATCAGCAAAATGTTTTGTAGGGGGCAGGCAGGGATTTCTGTTGAGTTCCAGCTGCATGGCTGCTTCCCCCTCCTCGCAAGCAGACAAGATACGTCTATACCTTATTAGCTAACTAATAATAAGGTAGTGTTAGGCCTCTGCTTGACATCAGACTCTCTGAGTTAAGTCACTGGTTAGTGAGTGTATAAATAAACAGAAAGGAAGCCAGCTGGCTTAGGGAGACTTAGGCTGTAGCAAGAGTAACAAGCCAGGCTATTAAATCGCCTTACCAGAGAGATGTCGGCCAAGGGAGGCAGCAGCCTGATAAGACCATCAAGCTCAAAGCAGAGTTGAAGTGGATTCTTGGGTACAGGACTAAAGCACAAGATGTTTTGGACCAGAAGTGGGTGCTGGACATGTAGCAGCAGAGATCATGCCATGTGCAACTCAAGGGTTAATTTGTGGACTGTAGGGTGGATATCCTTACTCACAAACCTGGTACTATGTGGTGCAGTGGTTAGAGAGTTGCTCAATGTTATCAGAAAGTCAGCTGATCAAGAGCGGGTTGGTTGTGGAGGTGCTGCTTAGCAACTAGGAAGAATGGTATGAGGCTTAATGAGGTGGCCCATGGCCTGATTGGCTGTGTAGTCCTGAGGGAGTGTTTCTCTGTGTGTTTGGTTGAATGTCTCCTGCTATGTACAAGGCCTGGAGTTGGACTCTGGAGGGCAGAATATGACCCTGGGCCTGACTGCTTTACCTGGCCCTCAGAACTGCTGCCATTCCACAACCCTGCTCCCAAGGCCATGCCACTCACTGGTCCCACTTCGCACCTTCCTCACGTGTTTTTGCCTTACTGGAATGTGCCATGAACTCTGATAATGCCCTTTGCTTCTCCAAACGGAGGATAGGGAGGTGTGTGACTATGTGTAGAAACTAGCCTACTGCAAATGGCAAACTGCCGCGTGTTCCTCTGCCCACTTTTGCTTCTAGCCCCACTGTCATGTGGCCCTTGGAAGGTTGCTCAGAAGGGAATGTGGCCCCTTGTAGTGAAAAAGGTTCTCTACCCTGACAAAAAGGATTGAAGGGTGACTTTGATTGTTTTAAAATGGTTAACCTGCATTTTGACGTCAGTTGGGCTCTGAAGGCGGCTCATTAACACAATGTACACAAATTATAGAAAGATTCAGCACAGAGATGTACTGGCAACAAAAGATTCTAAAATGTCTAACCATCCAACCTCAAAGGCATATGATATAAAACGGTTTTAATCAGCTTTTCATACGCTGAAAGTGAGTTGGCCTCGTGTCCTTCCCTGGGGAGAGGATGGGCAGATATTATTTTTCCATTCCCAAATGCTCTATTTCTCAAGCCATGAGAGCAGAGAATGGTTTTGTTTCAATTACACCCCGTGTAATATTCCGCTGGAAATTGAAGCAGCTCTTTGTTCTGTTGTTGCAAAGGATTCGTAGGCTGGCTAGGCCTGGATTTTTAACGGTAAACGAGGATTTACTCCTCCTCCCTTCGCTTCACAAACCTCTCTTTTGGCAAGTCAGGCTGGCTCATCACAGATTCTCTCTCCTCCCAGCCCCCCCCCCCCGCCTCCCGGGCAATTTCAAGGATTAAATTCTACCAAAGCAAATGGATTTTCAATCCCCTAATTCTGAGCCACCTTGGCTGGGTGGAAGTGATTTTTCAACATGTTTGCATTGTCATCTTCCAGTGGCGTGGCAGCCGCCGCTTTCCAGCTGCTGGTGGGATAGACTGGATGCAAAATAAAATTATTCCCTCTGCATCAGCTCTTCCAAAGTATCAGGATAAAAAAAAAAAAAAAAGAGGAAAGGATTCTACCACCACCACCACCCCGCCTCACAGGCAGAGCAAAACTTCTTTTTGCACTAGAGGCCACCAAAGAAGCAAGCTCAACACCATTTTCTTTTTAAAGGAAAAGTATTATTATAAAAGGGATGCGGGTGGCGCTGTGGGTTAAACCACAGAGCCTAGGACTTGCCGATCAGAAGGTTGGCGGTTCGAATCCCCACGATGGGGTGAGCTCCTGTTGCTCGGTCCCTGCTCCTGCCAACCTAGCAGTTTGAAAGCACATCAAAGAGCAAGTAGATAAAGAGGTACCGCTCTGGCGGGAAGGTAAACATGCGCTGCTCTGGTTCTCCAGAAGCGGCTTAGTCATGCTGGCCACATGACCTGGAAGCTGTATGCTGGCTCCCTCGGCCAATAAAGCGAGATGAGCGCCGCAACCCCAGAGTCGGTCACGACTGGACCTAATGGTCAGGGGTCCCTTTACCTTTTTATTATTATAAAGGCTAGAAGCAAAGAATTGCCACATACACACAAACACAGTAGGGCCACACCTGCCCCAACCATTTAGGGCACTATTATACCACTTTAACCATCATGAATCCCACCAAAGAATCGTGGGAACCGTAGCCTGCTAAGGGTTCTGAGAGTGATTGGGAATCCCCTGCCCCCCCCCCCCGAGCTACAATTCCTAGCACTCTTGACAGACTACGGTTCCAGAAATTCTTTGCTAAACACTTTGGGAATTGTATCCCTGCCACGCAGTGGGTTGGCAGCAAGAGGTTGGAGGGGAGTGAGAATCATAGCTGTCAACGTTTCCCTTTTTTAAAGGGAAATTCCCTTATTCCGAATAGGATTCCTCACAAGAAAAGGGAAAAGTTGACAGCTATGGTGAGAATGCTTAGGTCCTCCAGATGTCGCTGAAGTACAAATCCCATCATCCCTAGCCACTGGCCATGCTTGCTGGGGCTGATGGGAGTTGTAGTTCAGCAACATCTGGAAAGCACCACTGAATAATAAACTGGTGCTTCTAACCCTTCCCTGTGCCTTAAATAATACTATGGCTACCTTGCTCACAGGAGGCACAAAGGAGACTGACTTAGGTGGTTCCTTGTTTCTGTGTGGCCTGGAAATAATGTGTTGGTTCTTCCCCCATGTCATGGGTCAGGAGCCAGCTTCACCTGCTGAACAGCAGCCTGAAGGGAGAGAAGGCAGAGTGACCCCACCTGCAACTGATCAGCATTCAAGGACACAGAGGAGAAGGAGCTGATGAGAACCAGCTGGCTTCAGCCTTCTTAAGCAGAGCTTCCCGTAGCTGTTAGATGCTGGTAACAATGCTTATAGTTCCTGGTCTGACCTTGCTGTTTCCTGCTCCTCTTGACCCCATGATCATTGGATTCCCTGACCCCTGGGCTAATAGATTGCTGTTTGCCTGTCCCTAGGACTGGACCCGACTTTGGATGCTGACTCTGCCTCCAGGCAAGTACACCTCAGAGACTCTTCTAGCTGGCTGGTCTCCCACTCCACTGAGCTCTCTATGTTGTTGCTCAGCAACAAGACTACTGCACCCCAAATAATAGTTCTCCTCACTCCCTACCTATGGTTCATCCTCTGGCAAATCTTGCCATCTCCACCCCATTCAGATTGGCACCATGGGACTCTCAGTGCTACTCAATGGTAGGACTGGCCTTGGTTACTGTAGTCCAGGTTTGGCTTTCCAGAAGTTCCAGGTGATACCCATCATACCTGGTCTATGGCCATGCTTGCTGGAGGTGATGGGAGTTGTAGTTCAGCCATAGCTGGAGCCAGATCCCAAAACAAAGCCCCCTGATGTTGGTGAGGGAGAAGGATCACTCCAACCAGTCCTGCCCTGTGAGGATTCTTACTGCCATCAAGTCAACTGATAAAGGAATCGTATGGCAGGACAGGATTTGTCCACCTGGCTGAGACATTGTTGCCTGCTCTACCCCTGGATCTGACCAGGTGTGGAAAGTGCTTCTGGAGAGGTTAAGATAGCCAGAACCACCACTGTTTCCCTTAGCAATGTCTGAAGAGCACAGGTTGACCACCTACTTTGCTAGTTTAATCCATCACTGCATAAATCTGTTGTTGTTGTTGTTGTTTAGTCGTGTCCGACTCTTCGTGACCCCATGGACCAGAGCACGCCAGGTACTCCTGTCTTCCACTGCCTCCCGCAGTTTGGTCAAACTCATGCTGGTAGCTTTGAGAACACTATCCAACCATCTCGTCCTCTGTCGTCCCCTTCTCCTTGTGCCCTCCATCTTTCCCAACATCAGGGTCTTTTCCAGGGAGTCTTCTCTTCTCATGAGGTGGCCAAAGTATTGGAGTCTCAGCTTCACGATCTGTCCTTCCAGTGAGCACTCAGGGCTGATTTCCTTCAGCATGGATAGGTTTGATCTTCTTGCAGTCCATGGGACTCTCAAGAGTCTCCTCCAGCACCATAATTCAAAAGCATCAATTCTTCGGTGATCAGCCTTCTTTATGGTCCAGCTCTCACATCCATACATCACTACTGGGAAAACCATAGCTTTAACTATACGGATCTTTGTTGGCAAGGTGATGTCTCTGCTTTTTAAGATGCTGTCTAGGTTTGTCATTGCTTTTCTCCCAAGAAGCAGGCGTCTTTTAATTTCACGGCTGCTGTCACCATCTGCAGTGATCATGGAGCCCAAGAAAGTAAAATCTCTCACTGCCTCCATTTCTTCCCCTTCTATTTGCCAGAAGGTGATGGGACCAGTGGCCATGATCTTCGTTTTTTTGATGTTGAGCTTCAGACCATATTTTGCGCTCTCCTCTTTCACCCTCATTAAAAGGTTCTTTAATTCCTCCTCACTTTCTGCCATCAAGGTTGTATCATCTGCATATCTGAGGTTTTTGATATTTCTTCTGGCAATCTTAATTCCGGCTAGGGATTCATCCAGCCCAGCATTTCGCATGATGAATTCTGCATATAAGTTAAATAAGCAGGGAGACAATATACAGCCTTGTCATACTCCTTTCCCAATTTTGAACCAATCAGTTGTTCCATATCCAGTTCTAACTGTAACTTCTTGTCCCACATAGAGATTTCTCAGGAGACAGATGAGGTGACTGTGGTAGTAAATTCAGAGGTGCAAGGTCCCTTTGTGATAGTCACAGCCACACCCTTCACAGCCATGTTCCCTTCTAAGATGATACAATAAACTTAAAATTACACATAATACTTATGGAGTGCATTGCAACGATCCATGCAAATCTTGCATGTGTTGCCTTCCAGCTAGATATGCTATTTTCTGTGTATATACGCAGTGTTCCAGTATCTTCCTTCCTAGTGACTGAAGCTGTGTTTCCCTTGAAATTCCATTGTGTGTGACAGCAACTCCTCGGTGTTCTTCCCACATGCCTTCTCCAGAGTGACCCTAGGAGCCGATCCTCAGTGGCTGGCTCCCTTCCTTTCACTTTGATTGGCTCCAATCAGCACGAAGGGTGAGAAGTCATCTCAGTGGCTAAAAAGCTCCCCTTTCATGGTGACTGGGCCGCTCTAGGATGCTGGAGACTGGGACCCTGCGATAGAAACAGTAATGGGTGTCTCACCACTCCAGGTCACTACACCTCTGGGGCAAATAAAATCTTCTTTTTTCATAGACCAAACCCAGCCGTGATTCTGTGTGAAGCTCAGGGAGATTTATCTGGATCTGTACCCGTTTTCGTAGTTTCTGATATCAGATATGTTTGGGAATGCAGCCCAAACTCACAATTACAAAGGATAAAATTAAAGCCACGATATTTGTCAGTGATAAGCATTATTATAATTCAGGTCCTTAAGAACTGAAGGAGAAGCTCAGGGGGTGGGGAATATATATAAATGTAGCTTCCCACTGAGCTGAATCCCATGCATCAAGATGTTTGAAGGCTTACATGTACGCTGTTAACTGCACCCATTAATTGTGGGCAAGAAATTAAAGGCTGGAGAAAGCCCCTTCAGAAATAACTCACTAGATCCGTTTTCTTCTTCACCCCCTTTGACTTTCTTGCAACCACCCCTCACCCCTCTGCTGTTTTAAGATGGTTGGTTCATCAACTGGCACATTTTAAACAGATTAAGAGAAGCCTCTAGGATTGTCTCCACTTACCACTACTTCTGAGACTAAACTTTTAACGTGGAAAGTAGGGATGTGATGGGATTGGGCCACCAGCTGACCAGGAAACAATGGTCTGGTCTGCTCATGTGCCTTTAATGAAAACTTGATTTGCAAAATCAACCATTGAAGCTTGTCACCGTATGGGGATATTAAGCTTTATATGAGTTAGGGGAGTGTGGCACCACTTTGCGGTAATTCCTGTCCTACTTGGATGGTCATTTCCAGAGGGTGATGCCTAGGGAGAGCTTTTTGACCCTATGGGGGTTCCTTGAGGTTCAGTTTTATCCCCTATGCCAGACATGTTCAACCAGTCAACCGCGATCAACAGGTAGATCCTTATCGATCACGGGCTTAAAAGAACTGGGGAATGAATGTATCCACCCCCTGTCCCCCTCTCTCTGTTCCTCCATTGCGACAAGTTGGCGGTGTTTGGGGATTTCTGTTGGCGATTGGGAATATGACTGGCTTTAGTGCTGCAAGTGTTTGTTAGTGGCAGAGTTCCAGGTGAGTGATTTTTGTCATTCCCCCTTAAAAAGAAGCTCAACAACTCTGCTCAATCCCTCCCTCAAAAAGCTCAATAACTGTGGCCTACCCTCCCCCCCAAAAAAACTCAACAACTGTGGTCAATCCTCAATGACAATGGGTAAATCGCTGCCAGTTTTTTAATAGTGGGAGTAGATCGCAGTCTCTTGGGAGTTGGATGGGCCTGCCCTATGCTATTTAACATCTACATGAAGCCACTGAATGGACTCATTTTGAGTTTCAGAGTATGTAAGCAGTGCTATTTTTCTAAGAAAAAGAAGGTATCGCAGGGGCTGGGGGTTCCAAGAGCTGCCCTGATCATGACATGTATAATTCCCCGACGTGGAGAATCGAGTGACATTTTGAGCGCAGGCTGATGGCTGAGGCACTTGCTGAAACCCTTGGTGACTGAGTAAGCAGAGAGCTTAATAAAAAGAGTTCACTCTCAAAGCACCTGGCAAAAATAATAATAATCTTCGGCTTCTACGGAGTTGAAACACCTGTAGTTTTCTGTGTCAAACACAATGTAGGGTTTGTTTGTAGCCATAGGTACGTCAATTAAAGTTTGCATTTATTTGCAAACAGAAGGCCTGTGTGGCTTCGGCCTTGCCATCCTAAGCCCACTGTGCTTCAAACCTTGCCTCTGGACTTTTAACTCTCCCATTTCAAGCTGCAGACATGACATTACAGCAGCAGGTAAAATACTAGGGCTCTGAGCCTGCCTGCCAAGTCCTCATTTCTACATTAGCACCCTATAAATCAAATCTCCCACAAGCTGTGCCAAAGAGCCATTTCCAATGACAACTTGGAAGGCTCTTGAGGAGCAAGGCTCGCGGTTTCATGTGGGTTTCCTCACCTCTATTAAAACTTAATTGAGACCATGTGGGCCTCTGGAAAGAAATGCTGGGCTTGGGGTGGCGGAACCTCTGGATGGTATCTACTTGAGGGAAATTGAGGAACCTGAACTCTTCGTACTTCCATAAGAACATAGGAAGAGTCCTTCTGGTTCATACCAAAGGCCTCTCTTGGAGATGGGGAACCTCAGGCCCATGATCCAAATATGGCCCTCTGAGTCTCTTTATCTGGCCCGCAGGAGTCTTCCGAGGCTGAGAGTCTCACTGCCTCTACTCTACGCCCTCTTCAGGTCAGGTGCTTTTTCCTGGCTGGAATGTGTCCTTGAGCTATAATATGCTCAATGCTGCTATTTCAGGAGGGTTTCCCTTTTTACACGTTTCCCCAGTATTTTTGTTGTTTCTACAAATATCTCATCCCAGAACTGGCCAACTTTGGCACAGTCCCACCACACAAGTGTGAAGGAACCTTGAGCTGTACATC